GTGAATTCAGTTCATTTCTTTCATTCATTCACTTATTTTATTCACTTCTCTCACGTTTCATTCGTTTGTTTCGTTCATTAATTTATTAGCGCGTGTGATTGAATGAATGAAGTGAGAGAAATGAAATGAATTCATTAAATGCACGCTTATTAAATTCTCTTCACTCTTTTCATTCCTCTCATTTCTCGTTCCTCTCTTTAATTAATTAAACTCACTCCTTTTATTCGTTTCGTTTATTAATTAAAGGAGTAAGTGAAATGAGGAACGAATGAGCTTACGAATGAACGAACAAACAAATTAAGGGAGAGAGGGAAGCGTCTGTAAGGTTGGGACANNCACAAGACCCTGAGAACTTGGATGCGTGGCCTCTACGAGTGTAGAAAGAGGGCGGTCCACTCAAGTCAAGCTGTGGCCCCATGTTGTCCCTTAACCGCTGTGTCGCTTCACGCCGGATTTCGTTCACAATTCACGGCCAGCGACCAGACCAGCTCGAGCCTGGGTGCAAGGTTCAGTTGCTCCATGCGCAATAGCCTTCTGGTGTTTGCTCCGCTTCCGGCTTGTGCCTGTCCTGGGGGAATAAACTGCCATACGCACGCTTGCCTCCTTTCATCTTAGCTCAGAATCGCTCTCTCGCCGCACGCTTGGGGGCCGCGTGGGCATCAGGCCTCACTTTTCATTGAACTTAATGCTTCTGGCGCTGCTTCATGTGGCCAACTGCGCTGTCGCTACCAGTCCCGTGTGCATTCAAACTTCTGTGCTCCGAGTTGTGCTCCTGCCGCAATCTTGCGCAAATTCTGGAGTTGCAATCGCTCGTGGACTAAGATCTTGGCAAAGGCCTGGACGCACCATTCAAACTCCCCGCGTCTACAGTGATTTTTGTGAATCCAAGTCCCCTCGCAGAATGAGAGAAACTGGCGTGTGGAAGAGTGCTGTCACCGCATTCTCTTGCTTGTTTGGGCTGGCTACTGAGGCTCACGGACCCCACACTTGTCATCGCTTTTTGGGCCGTGGACTGTTCTGGGAGATGGGCCTGGTTTTGAAGCGCTGCTCAGTGCGCAATGCATCACAATGCGCCCCGTGATGGGGACAGGTGGATCAGGAACATGGGGCAGTCTTCAACTCCGAACCAGACCTGGCGGTCCCCGCACAAGGCTGATGCGGCGAGACCTCGGCAAAATCGGCTTTTGAGATTTCACGGGCTGCAGCCACAAAAAATTTCCCGACTGCTCCGCTGATGGTCTATGCGCAGAGCTCAAGAAGGAGCTGGTCAAGTTGACCGGAAACCCTCATTGTGGCCAGCAGCTGTACTGAATGCCAACTACAATGACGCTTGCTTGCTCTGTCAGTTGGTGTAGACAGCAGCTTGGCCTCGTTGCCCGCTTGCAGCCATCGCTGATTGAGCGAATTATAGGAGGTCGAGCAGTAGAGTTGGATTGATTCCTCCTTGGGCATATGGCACGTATCCAAACCTGCTCTCAACCTGGCGTCTTCGGCAAAGTGTTTGCCCTATGCTTCCCAAAGCTGAATTTAAGCCTTAAGCATGCCCGCGCCAGGCGCAAAGGTGGCATGCTCTGGCTGCTCTGGAGGAGCTTTGCCTCTAGCCCACCCAGTTGGGAAGCCAAAAAGACTCTGAGCCTTGGGCCTCCCTCCTGGGTCAACTGGCGCAGTACAATCGATCGAGGCAGCCAGGACGAAAAAAACGGAACGGAATTTCCACTTATACCTTAAACTATACCAGTAGCTGTAGCTGCATGGCCCCTGATCCTTCGCAGGGAGCTGGCGATCTCAAATGCAAGGCCCAGCTCATCTTCTCCCCTCTCGAAGGGGCTGAGCCGGGGACCCGAGGTTATCTTGCTGCACTCAACGATATTAAACAGTTTTGGAGGGCAGCTGAAGCAAGGCTCTCAGGAATCCATACGCGCTGTACAGGTGCTTCTAGCTACCTTGTACCACTTGGCAACCTCTTCATAGAGGAATTGCTCGAGCCACCTTGCTCCAATGATGCCCACTATATGCCCACATGAAAGCTACATGTTGTGTAGCCTTTGCATCCAGAAGTCAGGTGTCCCCCAGACAATTCATAATGAAAACACTGGAGCAGCCTTAAGATGGGATCCCTGACTTGAGGATTCCAGCACGGGAACCAGCAACTGCAAGTACGGTGGCCTGCGATGGAAATCAGCTGCAAAGCAGCAAACAGAATAGAACACACTTAGTCGCTTATAGTCCCCCTTAGGCAGATAGAATATGGGATGTATAGTATACCCAAAGCCATATTTTATCTACTTAAGGGGGACTATAGCTTCATCCTTGCCCTCCTTTCATCGGAATCCAGAAAGCCGCCTCATGACCCTTCGCAACCGTTGCACCCTTCAACTCCTACATGGGAGCTTCGGAATCTCGACATAAACTCCAATTTACTACAACCCGTGGCAACAAGGGACCCCTAATTTTTGCCCCCCCATTCGACCCAGTAGCCCGAACATATCCCCTATGTAGCCCCTTTAAAGTCCCTCTAAACCTCCAGCTAATTTTTTTGGAAGCCTCCATATACAGGTCACCATAAAGCAGAGCAAAAGGGCGAGCAGGCTCTGACCCAACCAGAATCTGCATCATTGGCTCTTCGAATATCTACTCATAGCGCTAAGAATATTTAATATTTGTACGAAAAGCAATACAGAAAACAGCAGTAACAGCAATAGTGGTGATAATTAGCGGCTGGTTGTATTACCACGGGTTTCACATTGGTTATATGATTCCTGGCTACGCCATGATTTTTGTTTATGATTGTGGTTGGATCGCTTTCCGTCCATTGTTCTGGGTTGGGCTATTCTTAGTGTCATGATTGCGACTTTCGGTTTCATTGAACCAATGGCTATTGCTTTCAGTATAATTGTCTGTAAAATGTGCGATATTCGCAGTATTGGAAAACGCTAGTCTATTTCCATTATTATTTACTCGTTGATCGTGCTGTTGTATCATTCTTGGACTTTTCGGTACACTCTTTGATTTTACCAGTAACAATATCACTGGTTTGCTACTACTGTTGTATGACAACTGGCTTATTTGTTATTGGTATCACATTTCTGCTTTAAGGGTACTATACCCATTAGTTAGTACTTCGTAGTGTATTATTCTTGTGGTGCTGCTATTAAAGCACTCTAGAGCTTCAGAGCTGGCTGCCCTGATTAAGAAAAGCTTTTGGAGGTCTGCAAGCCCTTGAAGCCTGCGCCTGATGGGGGACTTCTGTTAGCCAACAGCTGAGACTGATGTTGCCACAACCTGTGGCATTGCTGCAGACTGGAGGGAATGTTGGCTATACGTTTAGGACGTGGAAACCCCCCCATTGCTTGGAAAACAGCAAGGTTCGCATTTTGCATTTGCCAGAACGGCTGCCAGCATGCCAAACGCCACTCCCAGGATAACCTTTCTAAAACCAAAGAACGGACTCTCCGTACCTCCCCTAGACTGCCCTAGACCTTGTATGAAATGGCGCGTTCGGCCGCCCACACTGCTCCAATTCCACAGTGTGGTCATCGGAAAATGTGTATGCTGGCTGCTTGAAGCATTTGGCTTACGCGGAGGTCCAAGTTTGTTCAGATCCTCCACGTCTTTCACTTTGATCGGAAGTCAGAATGGCATGAGCCTCGACGCAATCGAAAGGGCCTGGCACGGGCAAGCAGATTGAGCGGCAAAACCCAGGTCTCTCGCCCAGGATTACGCAGCTGCTTGCATGACTCTCATGCGACAAGCCAATGATTTAATGCGGGCTGACACTGCTGTAAATCACTCATTTCGTATGACTGCGCGTGACATCCCAATCAGTTGCTTGCCATGCATCTAGAAGAGCCAATGCTGTGCAGCGCACCGAGTGTGGCATCCATCGTCGGGCAGGGATGCTGGGAGCCGGGATTCCGAGGTGCTGCAGCAAAAGGCGGGCCTCTCACAGCTTGCAACAAACTTGGGCTTGCGGGACCTGCGGCTCGGACCCAAGAGAATGACCCACGGACAGGCCTGATAGTCCTCCCCACCCAGCGGACCTCACAACCAACAAGAAGATGAAGAAGATGCAAAGAGAGATCTGCAAATCCCAGGCCTTCCACAACGGGATGCGAATGGGTGACGCCGTCGAACAGTTTAATCTGAACGAAAAGGAAAATGCTCAGCTGAGGCGTGCCGTAGGCTAACGCAACTTAATCGTGCACCGAAGTGCAGCCATGCGCGCACATGATCTGTCTGAAACACCAGCCTCAACGTTTTCCAGACCGGCCTGAATCAGTCACCATGAGGTTCAGCATCGGAAGTGCAAGGCTTGATAAGTCTGCATGTGATAGCACTTGCCTTGCGCAGCTCGTCGGCAAAAGCCGTTGATATCTCCTTTGCATTGTCCACAAGATGTGGCAGGTCAAGCGTGCAAGAGAGGTGGAACAGATACCTAAACCTCCCGAACACCCATGCTAGTAGCACATACTTATACCCGGTATTCGGGGTTTAAGGGTCCAACATTATGGGCATTTTCGACGGCTAGGAGGCACAACAACTCCTGCCACTAGCCTGACCTAGCCTGACCACTAACCTGTGAGACAAGTTGCGAACGGGACGCTGGTGTCTGCCTCCAACCAGAGTCCAGGAAATCAAGGGCAATCAAGAATCAGAATAGCCAGTTGCTGCTTGAATTCTGAAACCCCTTCAGCCCTTAAGCTCTAAACCTTTGCCTTCCCATGCATGAGGTGCACTGGTGGCATTCGTGAAGTCGCCCGACGCAGGGCAGGCTCCTGCAAAAGCACAAACACAGCATATGAACTTGCGTAGAACTGCTTACTGGTGCTGAAGGGGAGGGACAAGACAACGGAAACTGCTATATCATTTAGGTTTTGTTTGAGGTTTAGGGTGTTGACGCAGAGAATGCATGGCAAGCTGAAAACTACAGACCGCTCACTCTCAAGGGCATGTGGGGACTATTTGAGGCCAGGTTTGACAAAAGAAAACTAGAGTGGTCTGGCCTGACCTTGGCAAGGAAACGGAGGAAAAGCTCAGCAGCGGACAGGAAGGACCCTCTTTCAAGTACGGCACATTGAAGAACTAAGAGGAAGCCGGTCACTCAAGCTTGCTGAATGCTCTGGCAATATGGCAGTCCCTTCAAAGCCGTGGCCTTTGCCTAGCCATGGAAGGAAGGGACCGCTGGCTGCTCCCTAACCTATGGATCCGGGTACGGAATGGATGTTGCGCGCACCCTGTTCCACACCCATACATTCTAGGAAGCATCCATACGGAAGATTTGCAACACTTATGCTTGCATTACACCTGCTAAGTGCCTCTTGCCTTAGTTGGGGCAAAGAGCGGAAATGGGCTGTTGGGGTCCTGGGCTCCTTAGCTGAATGGCATGCTGGTGGAAAGTTTGGTGTCTTTATGAGGTTGAGTGGCAACACTGTCCAACATGAATTGGTAGAATAGATGACATCCTGTACAAGAAGCGTCTGGGTTCATGTTCAGACAGATTTGTGCACAGCCTGCACGATCCAGACAGCTACGCTTATATTGGGAGAACACAGTTTAAGGATGCCGTGACAGTGTTACCTCGCGATCGTTTCAAGGTTTCACAATCAGCTGGAGAAGGAGGGAAAGTCATGACCGTGGATGTGTAGGAGAAAGACATTGATTCGGAGGACCTTAAGGAGAGAACTTGTTGGCCCTATCTTCAAGTTTCGGGCATGCGTTCCTGGAGCATCAGTGTAGGCGAGACAGCTGCCATGTCCCCATCTGCCTCACAATCTTGAGCTTGACCGTCAAGCGATGCACCAGAAGGATTTACAGATTCAGCTCAGACCGGTGTAGCATCTTGTAGAAAACTGCATTACTGGTGCTTAAGTGGGGCAGCGGACCCTATCTTGGCATCATCCCCTATGTAGTACCCACGTGCACTCCCCAACTCCCCCTTAAGCACCAGTAAGGAAGCTCGGGCCCTGGCACAAAGGTGCTGCAGGAAAGGGAAGATCTGCCTGCTCTCCATGTGGGCGACCTGCAAATCTTCACTTCATGGGGAAGGTCTATAAGATGAGCTCAGACTTATGACACGGCAAGCACAAAGACAAGGGTTCTTTGGCACAAGGAGACATACCATGCGCTGATGGGATAGCTCGTTTTGAACATCCTCTGTTTGAACCACCTTGCCTCTGCTGGCAGATCGTAGACGCCCGAGACACCCAAAAAAACCTTCCAATGCACGGGCCAAGCAGTGTGCCAGACGATAAAAGCATGTGCCAAGCTCTGGAGCGATGCGTTCACGCGCTAGTGTCGCGTACGGATATCCGAGTAATGCAAACTTCACACGCATGCAGTGGCCTTAAAATCGCTCGGAGACCATTTCATGCCTGGGCGACATTCAAAGCTTCTCGGAGAAAGGAGTCGAATGTGCAATGATGTTGCACTGCTTATCATAGCTGCGTGCCCGCTTGGATGCTAGCGACAGTCATAATGTTGATTGCACGAAGAATAATGCTCATCCTCACACTAGCTTGCACCGGCCTGGTAGACATGACGAAGCGTGAAATGAATTCTACAATGACAAAAATCCTGCTGTACCAACAGCACAAGACACTTGAATTGTCCCACTAATGCTGGCAGCCACATAAAACATGCTGCCTGGCTGCCTGCGACGGCTCCCAGCTCAAGAGCCTCCTCCTCTCGGCGGCACTTTTGCAGCAGCAGCCTGAAACGACAAGCGTGCCAGCTCCGTTTCAAGAAGCCACCAGCATAACAAATGTTCCCCCAATTGTATGATGGCACTATGTTGGCGGCATCTATTGCAGGGGCGTCGGGGGGTCTCGTCATGATTAGGGGGATACCCTTGTAACTTATACCCGCCAAGCGGCGCGCTGCTGAGGTGTGCCCCTGCGCTCTGACCCACCAAGGCCATGCGCTTTGGGTCGCCACCGTAAGATGCCTCAGCATCTCAGGGCAATATGTAGCATCCCTCCCTGATTGCAACCGCAAAGTTTGCAAAAGCAGCCCTGTGCAAAGACTCCGGCGTCCCCCCAAAAAACAGCTGGCATTCCACCGAAGTGCTTCTTGTTACTTTGCGTCTTGAAATGACCAAGCCTGCACTTTTTCTGCAACCCACCTTTCCAGAGGAGGGCTTGCGGCCTCTATGCGTCTTACCACACCTGCCCAGTGCTTCATCTTTGTACAAGTAGGTAGAACAACAGAACATAGTGGAACTACCATACATGAGAACTAAGCCAGCAGAGCGTCCACATTGCTTCGAACCCAAGCCAGGCCAGAATCCAGATCATGGAGCATGTCTGGGATGGTCGCCAGAGGAAAGTTGCCTCAGAGGGAGTCCACATAAGAAAGTGCCATATTTTATTTGGGGGTTGCCATAGCTATTTCAGAATGTAGAAACGGTAGCAGGGTTTTGCGCACACAAGCGTGAAGCGAAGGACGGCCGCGGGCATGAGAGACTTGACATCGTCAGTCACCACATGGCTGGCTTTGATAAATGATTCGCAGCAGGCTGCCCTTCGCTAGTGATGTGCCATTTGATGCTGTCCGCAAGCCTCAACAAGGCGTGGTGGCAGCAAATGGGGAGCGGTGCTTATCTGGTGCTGCAAATGCTGTGTTGCCGACTCTTTGATGATCCTTCATAGAATGGTGTGCTCCAATGCCTCCCCAACGGGAGCTGGCCGTCTCAAGCAGCCTCTGACAAAGACTAGTAAAACGCCTCCGCAGGAGTAGCTCCATGCAACAACACCGTGGCGGTGGCAGGGTTTGCAACGGAAAGAGTACGGGAGCGCAAGCGCTGCAAAGTCTGCTGATAGTTTCGCCCGCACCTTTGATCAACTGGCAATAACTAGCCGTGGGATCAGTAATATTTTCATTGAATCATGTCGTACAGTTCGTGACCCAAAATCTGGCAGGCTTCTCCGCGCAACATTGACAGGAAACTGAGACAGAAACATGCAGGTGAGTCGGACCTCTGCTGTCAACATGTATGAACAACCAAGACCACAAGACAGCTTACCGCACTGCAGGGTCATCATGTACTGATCACTGCCTGAGTAGGTTAAAATCTAGTGCAGTAGATAAAGGACAGCATGGGCTTGGCCCTCCTTCTTGGCAAGTTGAAAGAACTCTTCTTGGAAGAGCGAGCCACGAATATGGCCACAAATCAAGACTTGGCTGGCAGGTTGCCCCTTGACAACTTGAGCAAGCGCAGAAACTCCAGGACCCTAGAAAGCAACCGAAACTTGTTGCCGTACCGGTATTCTTTTGGAAAGGATTGCTGTGGACCTTCCGCAACTGAGTGAGAAGAGAGCTGTCATCACGTGTTTGGCACATCCATGCTGTCAAGCTAGAAGGCAGATCATGTGATTATGTGGCTGGGGGGAACCGGTTTTGTGGATGCCAAAGACAACATGCTCAGATCGTAGCCGCAACCATGGCCTCATGTTTCAGATGCAGCCGCAACAAGCTTTGCCGGAATTGATCTCCTTCAGCCATTCATTTGTCAGAAGCACGTCCTGCAGGACAGCAGTAACGGGAGCCAGCATGCCTAGCCTAAGTGGTGAGGCTGAAAACGACTGCTTTCACTGCGCTGCCATATTTCGGTCCTGTGCCCTGGGTCTCTTGAGAGGGTCACGGTTAAGCAGCGTCTGCACCTCAGCATTTAAAAAAGTGCGGTGACAGAAAGAAACAAGTCATAGAGCTACATGCACCTGTTACTCTCCGCCAGGGCACCAGATCCTTGACATGCGCAGGCTTCAGAGACCATCTCCTCGCATGTTTTTAAAGCTTCAGAAGGCTCAACCAATTTTGCTGCTCATGCTTTGAACTACGTACTCCTGCGAAGGCTGACAATGAACGCATTGACAAAGCCTTAGGTTTCCTCAAGCTCACCCAGAAATTAAGGACCGGTCTTTGGATCGTAAGGAAGCTCCCAGTGCGCATCTTCCAAGCACCTGGCATCATTGATTTGGGAGGATTCTACCTCCTTGACTCCTGAAAACAGTAGAACTTGCAACACTTCTGTCCTAGAGATTCATCTTTAACCGCCAAACCCTAAAGCTTGATTCCAAGAGCCCACATCCTACAAATCTTAGACCCTAAAATTCTGACTGAACGCGCCACCTTTGAATCTCGACTTCGTTCATGTACGAAAGGCCACTTTCAGACACCCAGGGCTCCATGCCTGGGAGGCACCGACGAGTTTCCAAAGGGTTTTTTTTAGGGCTTAGACAGTGTAGACTGTGGGCTTCGACTTTGGAGTAATATGGAGGCCTGAATCATTGGAATACTGGAGAATCAATGGGAAAAAGAAAATGGGAATTTAATCTAAACCCTGGTTATCAAGGGTTTGTGGGGAGTGTGATGCAGGAGCCCAAATACTTGGAAAACCTTTTTGGTGAGCATATTGTACCTTTGTTATCAAGACTGGTAATTAGTAAGCCTTCTGCATGATTCCCACACAACTGATTGGTACTCTTGCTCCGTTTGAATCGTCTTGCCCTCCCTCTGTCTTCTCTTGCCCTCGTTCCCCCTCCATCCTTGTTCCTCCAGAGTTCCGTGTGTGCAGCTTTGCCAATGCATAATGAGCGCAGTTGACTTCTCTACAGAGCTGACCAGCCTAGGGAATAGGAAGTGTGCTACTCTTGGGATTCGTGGTCTTTCCAAAACGCCCGCTACACCCTCTCAACTATTTGAATTCTTAACCTGATAAGGAACCACTGATTCTTGAAATTTGAAACCCTCAAAAACCATGCAGATGGATGCCGTGCAGCCCCGGCACAGACCGCGCAAATGTAGAGAGTAATGCCAATGCTCCACACGTCACACTTCCTGCATTGCGGTTTGCGCAGTGCGGGGGGGCAAGGAAGTGCACCAACGTCCCGGACCTCCAAAACGCCTCGAATTGCTGTAACATTATGGCAATGATGGCCTTCGACACGCAAAGTAATGGGCATAACCCTGGGCAATTGTCTTGGTATCAGGGAGGTTAACTCTGACAGTGACACTTATCGTTGCCGCATCCTTTCCGAACTCCGACACGAAGCAGCAAAGTCTACGCGAGTGCACTTGCGGGGTTGCATAAATGGGGAGCTCCCAACATAGACCATGACATTCAGTAATTCTACCGCCCATGTCTACCCCCACTTAAATTCTGCTGAGTCTCTCATTGTAGTTTCGGCTGTAGACCTCAGGGGCGATGGTGGTCATCGTTCCCACGACCTGCTGATTCCACGATGTCTGCTTAGGAGGCGGTTCCAAGGGGCTTCACGCAAGAAACGTGCTTGGTGGGTCTGTGGTTCTTGATGGGTTTGGGACCTAGTCGTAGGGTGACCAAGGGACTTGTAGAGGGGGACCTAGCAGAATCTCGCAAAACACCTAACTGGACCCTATCCCAAGTTCCTGAGACTACAATAGACTTGCGCCCACGGGGGGGCGAGGGGGATGAAAGCTTCGAAGCGAGGCAGGAGCAGGCCTTTAGTAGGCATGCAGCATGCGCGTGAGGGTAGCTTTTTAACCAGCTGTCGAGCAGCGCATGACCATGGGCAGCAGGGTGGAGAGATCCGTGCGCATGTGACTGAGTGTGCAACCCTCCTGCAAGCTAACCTAACCCGGCGCGGCTGCAGTTGGGCATACCAGACTCAGACTCTGCCAGACTACGCCATCGCTCAACATATGCGACCTCCGCCGTGCGTAGAACATATGCCGCATGGCCGCCTCCGAGCTGGCATCAGCAGCATCACCGTTTCCTTGCCCAGAAAAGCTCCTTACTACCGACCCTCCTGAATGGCCGGCTTCGAAGACCACCAGGACACGCCCAAAACCCCTCCTCCGCTCAGGTCTGGCCCAAAAAATGCAGGCAAAGTACTCCCCATTGGGACAAGTCAGCATAGCTGGATTCAAGACAAAAGCTTGGGGAAGCTTTCGTAACATGCGCAGTCCTGCAGGCGTTGCAACGGAATTGGTCTTTGCACATGCAAGCGGCTTGACTCCGGAACTCACAAGTGTGTGTGTGTGTGTGGGAATTTCTGACAACAGTGTCCTTTAGGGATCTGATGATAACATACAATCCTCCTTCGATTCTCGGGACCCCAAGAATGCGATCCTAATTCATGAAAGCCCTAGTTGCCATTCCTTGTAGTATATCCCTGTTCTTACTCTACCACACCCCTTATAACCCCTTTCAAAGGGGATCCCATAACTTGATGCAACAAGCCCTAGGCTGCTTCCCTGGGCCTCTTTTAGCATCTCCCCTGGAACCAGCGAGGCAGAGAGGCCAAGGTCAATGAGTTTCAGTGGCGCGAACGGATCCGGCCTTAGTCTTCTTGGTCGTTAGGGAAGGAATGAAGCAATGGAAAAGAACATGGAAACTACTACAAGGTTTCGGCTTTAGAACATCAGGAATGGAAGAGGAGATGGGAAATGGCACATTTGAGGAGGGGTTATAGCACAGACGTCACTATAGGGATCCATTCCTGCAACTAGCAACCAGGAAGTAATTTCATGGTACACGATACAAGGGTGTGCTGCAGTTTCAAGCATGCCCTGTGGCGCTCCACACAAGGATGGATCAGCATGTAGCTACACTGGAAGGCGGAAGCAGTAATAGCAATCTCAAGAAGGAGGACTTGCAACTTCCGTTGCCCTCCTGATCTGAAGCGGTTGTTGCTTCAGATGCTGCTGAAATCAAGCCGCTGTCTGCTGCGAGTGCTGCGAAGCCAGTACGTAATGTAGTCTGGAATGCTTGCGGCGTTGAAATCCTGAAGATAAACTTGTCCAGCCAAGCATATTGGCGCGCCTGCAGAAGCGTCCAAGAGTATAGCACAGATTCCATTTCAGTCAGGGCGCGTCCCCCTCATGTAGTTCTCGCACTTGATATCCTAGCAGGGCAGGACAAGATCAGTTTGTAGAGGCATGGGTCTAGAACAAGCCATACGCATAGACGTTGAACTCTGAGGTTATCTTGCAGCTTGCAGCTGGCTGTGCTCTGCTTGGAGAAGAGCGGCCCTGTGGACGATGTAGTGGTAGTGAAGGTATGCGACGCCAGATAGCATCTGCCAGGCGTACTTGCCAAGAAGCTCCTCCCTCAGCTGTGACAGTGATTGCATCATGTGCATTCAGTGCTCCAAGATGTGCCTTCATGCTCAACGAATTGTACAGCACGGGAGAGCAGAAATGAAGCAATACAAGCTTTGAGCAAACGGGGCAAGCATGGATGAGGGCGAGGGTGATTCGCTTCTTGCGCGCGCAGAGCGTGAGCGAGGGGCACAGAAGACTGCGCAGCCAACGCAAACCGCTTGCTTTGTCTCCAACAGCAGCTGCTGTG